TTATGGAGGTATTATTTTCTGGTTACATAACTTGCACTGTCTGTCTTTGGAGTGTGGGGAATAACAGCACAGTCTTTATAATGTCCAAAATGTCTTTCCATATGTGTTGGTCTTCCTTGTATTCGTCAACCAGGTTAGGAACTCTCCATAAATGTATGTAGCCATAGATCATGCTTCAGTTTTCCTGTTTCTTTCCAGTGGCTAGCAATCAGTCTCTTGGCCGTCATACATCTGGTTGTTATTATTTGCTTATTTTGTAATCAGTGTACTTCTTGTAATGAAAGATACAACATAAAACTCAAAGTACTTGGTCTTTTTCGATTCTCTGATTTTTTGAAATTTTCAAAATCCAAAACAAAAAACGCCAACCAGAATTTACATTCTTCAAATCCATTGTTACCCCTTTACCTTTTCTGAAGATTATTTCCTTTTTAATTTAGATAGACTTGTCAATAGTAAATATATTACCCACAAGAGATGGCGATCAGCTTGGCCCCCTTTGGCCTGAGTGCCAGCAGGGAAGCTAGGCTAAACATTACTTTAGATGGGTCCATTGTTTTATGCAATTTAGCAAATACAAATAGTAAAGAAATACACACAAAACAAAAACACATTTCACATAACCATACAGTAAAAGGCACATATAGTTGAAAAAGTTTAGACATTATCATAATAATCTATGAATGCCCCCCACACCTTGTAAAATGTGTTTATTGACCCTTGAATAGTGTGAGCTTTTACAGCTTTAAATGTGCCATGACATCAGTGACCCAACGGCTTCAAAGGGGGCAAGTTGGACCTCCAATTAAACAAAATGAGATGTCTCGCTAGTTATGATGAAAAGGCCAAAGAGCAGGTCTGGGCTCAGGGGAGACACTGGGCTCCGGGGAGACACAGGTCTCTCCGAGCCCAGACCTGCTGTGGCTCTGGATCGATGTCCTTATTACACATGTACAAAAAAGTCTAAAAGAACTTTCCAAAATGTTCTCATCCCTTAGCATGTCCAGAATGTGTGAAAAGGGGGTTGCTTGGTCCCGGTTACAACATTAACAGGTTCGGTCAACTTCAGGAAAAAAGCCACTTTGTTTTATCTCTGCTTCCTGATGCATCAAAAACCTATTCTTCTTCCTGCAGTGCAGAAGAATAGCACAAGAACTGGGGTGACACTTCTGCAAAAAGGATAAACTTGAGGGGTCGTCTTGTAAGAGATCTGTGTTTGAAAGCTTGTGACGTCTCTGTTGTGCTTATTGGTCAGTTCAGGATCATGATGCGCTCACACAGGAATCTGATTCAGGACACATTTAAAAAATAATGTCAACAGCAAAATAAAAAAAGGTTCAAGCAAAAAATCTGAATCTAGCACCAAAAACATAGAAAGTGTTCTAACTGATCTGATCCACAGGCATTCACACAGAAGAAGACATTTGGGGATTAGTTTCTTACCCCATGACTCGCAAAGACATGTAGACTGCAGGAACTGGGATCGAACCATCGACCTCACAACTGAGAGACCACCAACTTTAGAACTGAGCCACAGCCTGCCCAAAGTGTTTCTATGGCGATAAATCAGAATGGGAGCCATGAGTCATTTTCAGGTAGAAATCAGATTTCTCTTTTCATCCAGTGGAGTCTCCCCCTGTTGGTCATTTTAGAGAATGGCAGTCAAAGACAATGTGACTTTGCACTGAACCATGAGGAGTTAAATCCAGATCTCCCAAAGAACTGATTGACATTGCACACAAAATACTACACACACACACACACACACACACACACACACACACACACACACACACACACACACACACTGGAGACATTTTGAAATTGTGCACATGAAATAAATGTAAGGTATAATTTAAAATAAAAAACCTGATTCAGATTAACCAAAAACACTAAATTACCAATTTCTAAATCATATGAAATATGACTAGTTTTTGTATATTTAATTGAACAAATAAAAACTGTATATAAAAATAAGAACCGGTAACTCTGCAGAACAAAGTAAATCTCAACCATTTAAATATTTATAAAACAAACGGGAGGTTGAATAGCTGAGGATTTGACGAGTATTAACTTTGTTATTTCTATAAACTGTTAAATGTCTCTTGTGTTGTTTAAAGTAAAGAACAAACGTACATCGCCATCTAGTGTTCAAACGGTGCAACTTCATCACAGAGGTCTTTTAGCTTGTTTAGTATTTTTCTTATCAGTACACATTTATCCCACATTTTATTTCCCTCCAAAAGAAAGAGCCTGGCTTTCTCCCGCGTTACAACAAACCTCACATGACTATATGAGGATGAAACACGAGGTGACAAAAGATGAAGACAGTTTACTGAATCCTCAGGTGTACACAACAGTGAAACAGTAAAAACTCATCCATTTGTGCATTGCACAAAATATGATGACTTCAGAGAATGACTGTTTCATGAAGTAGCTCGTCAAAAAGCTGAAATATTGTGGTGGACAGATGTGCAACACCTGGAACTGCTGTTTTTAGTTTGATGTGTGGCTTGCTAATTGTGTCTCAAAAGCTCAGAAAAGAAGACAGTCTGTTTAATTATGGCTTATCTTGCTTTTGCTTTTCTCTTGTTGTTCCATGACAATGAATAGACCGACTCTAACACACAATAATAAAATAAAAACTTACAATTTATCACTCAAGTACCAGGGGCGTGTCCAGACTTATCTGACTGGGACGGCCCATCTGGGGCATGCTGACTTATGCAGGGGCGGCAGGAAGTTTGTGGGCACACACATGCAATGAATTCATTTTTCTTTTTACCCTTTCTTTATCCAAATTTTGCAAACTATAAACCTCTAAGTTTGATTCTTTAGGGACTCAAATACAAAGATGTTTGTCCAAAGTCATAATTTAAAGTACCTAGAAAACTGTCTAAATCCATTGAAAGTTAGACAGTGTGCACAAGTTTTTGCTTGGAAATATTTATGGAAAATATTTATATATAAAATATATAAATGACATTACCTGGTATAGAAAACTACCAGCAGCCTGTTATAAACAGCCAGGAGAGTGGATTTTAACTTAAGTCCTGCCTCTGATAAGGCAAATAGCCAATCGTGGATTTGGCATTTGGGGTGGCCAATCAAATTTCAAATTGGGCCATTCCACCCCTCTGGACACGCCCCGTCAAGTACATTAATTGAAGGAACTGCTTAAGCTTTATATTAAAGGGAAATAGGAGATACAGTTAGGAAGACCTGTTTCAATGTTTGTATGAGCATATAAATATCATACTGAGATGGACCATTAAAATGTTAACCTCACCTTTTACTGGATGTAAATGTGTCTGCATTGTGGGTCATCACCTCTGTCGCTGAGTACACAACAACGTTTACACTCAATGCTTCCTCCTGTGTTTACCCTGAATAATGACAAACCATAAAAGCTCACTGTTGTAGCCAGAATACTGTAAATGAACGATCAAGTGATTGAAAGCAATATTAACAGTGTGTAGTCAGGTTTTACTGATGAGGAATGAATTTATTTTAAGCTCTATCGTAAAAAAAATACATGTTGAAATGTAAGGAAAGTATTTCAGTATTGTAGCTTGCTTAAAGGTTGAGCACCATTGAAGGCAGCGGTGCAATAACATTTCCATGCCCCTAATATCTTAATAGAGAATAGTAAGGTCAACCTTAAAAACTGGAAAGTATGCTCTGCACCTAAACCAAATCAGGCCCTTTGTCAGCTACAACTTGCTTTTAATACTGTACAACGTACCTTGTCTGACTTAAAACTTGTGCTGAATGCTGATAAAACGAAACTCATGATGTTCTCGAACTCCAAATCAAAGCCACTGAACCTTCCTGCTATCACCACCTTTCAGGGCTTTGAAATTGAGTCTGTATCTCAATACAGATATCTGAGATTTGTGATCGATGATTCTCTCCCTTTTAAGCCTCACATTCAACAATTGGTAAAAAAAACAAAAAAAACACAAATTAAAATTAGGATTTTATTTTAGAAATAAGTCTTGCTTTTCATTTAAGGCCAAGAAAACACTTGTTGCTGCCACTTTTATGTCAGTGCTAGACTAAGGGCAATAAGGGTATTCTCGGTCTGCTTCCATCCTACCTACAGAGCTACATACTTCAAAAAAGTAATGGAAGTTACCATCTTTGCTCGCAGGATTTACACCTTCTAACCATCACTGAAGCCTGTACTGAATTAGGAAAAAGGGCGTTCAAGTATGCTGCTCCCTCTTGGAATTGGTTGCAAGATACTTAAAATCTTCGGGAGCTGGTTTCCTTGAATGTTTTTAAAGGTCGTCTTAATGATCTGTAGGCAGAAATATCTGACTGTAGATGTTTTAGCTAACTCGTATTGCCCTTTTTGATCGCTTTGTTGCTGATGACTTATTGACAGATTCTGATGAATGGTTCTTTGTGTGATTCCTGTATTTATGGTCATTGTTGTTAAGTGTGTTTTATGTCTGAAACCCTGTAATTGTGCTGCTGCCTGTCTTGGCCAGGACGCTCTTGTAAAAGAGATTTTTAATCTCAATTAGATTTTTTCCTGGTTAAATAAAAATGTATAAATAAAATAATGTTCCAAGAATAAGAATGAGATATTAGATACAGGTGAAAAACAGAAAGCAGGTAGGGCTGTGGGAAACAGAGAAGAAAGTCCTATTATCATAGAAATCCAAACTTAAGCCTTTTGCATAATATACTGAAAACTGTTTGGTGTAACCGACAAACCACAGATGATGAGAAACACACCACCATCACCGTCAGTGGTCGCTGCATCATGCTACCAGCCTTGGACAGCGTATGAAGGTAGGTACAGCCTCTAAAGGGGCCGGTGGTTTAGTGGACAGGGCACACACCCCTTGTACAGAGGCTGTATTCCACTCTCTCTCTGTCCCTGACACCCAATTCTATCCACTGTCCTATCTCTATGTACAATAAAGGCATAAAAAGCCACAAAATAAAATCTTAAAATAAAATAATAAACCATCAAGACAGGCAGCATGTATACTTAAATGAATATCACTTTATTATGGTTAATTCTCTCTTTTACAATACAAATAATATTGAAACGCTCATCAGACCAAAACAAAACATTTGCAGTCCTTTTTTTTTTTTTTTAAACAAACGCAAGCCCCCCCTCCTAATACTTGATAAAAATGAACACTGCTGGACATCCAAGAAAACGTATCCACAGTGCCAAGTTGTTCAACTATCCACTATTACAATATGTATTTACATATATTTAAAAAAGAAAGAAAGGATTGGGAACAGGATTTCAACAATATCTACAAAACAGAAAGAAAAGGTTGAGATGTTTTAGAGATGGATTATTCCCACAGATTTTTCTATCACTTTTTAGTTTGTAATCTGTGATAAATTATAACTCAATGGTTCCAAGTAAATGTGAAAAGAAACATGTTGATGTCACTTTTGAAAATATTTCTTTAGAGGATCTTCGACCAGAGCGACACACACAGAAACAGGTAATGCACACTGTGAGGGCTTGTTGATTTACAGTGACAGAGATTCTCATCAGTGAATCGCTGCCCTATCTCCCCTCTTCCTTGCACATTTGTCACATACAGTATCACAAATTACTTTTACCAACGAGACCAGGATATTTTACAGCTCCCAACAATGAAGTCATAAAAACAATCAACAGCACACAGCCAGAAACAGTACAGTGCAGAATTTAAATATTCAATATTGAAGTGTTTCCCTGAACTAAAAGAAAAGAGAGTGATTGAGATTTCCTCATAAAATGTCAATACAGCTCCCCCTACCTTTAAGTGTAGTGGTGTAGTGTAGCTTTCCTATATGTTCTGCTGTAACAAAGATCCTGAATGAATTATGGTCTAATTATATAAACTGATTTTCTAATCCTAGCATTAAAAGTTGCCTCGTTGCTTTGGTACAAAAATAAGTTTTATTTAATGTTTATGATGGTTCATATTTTGTGTTACTTCTCTGTTTAAACAATATCTGCCATGTCACATTAAATAATGATGTTGGAACTTTTTTGTTTTTAATTTGCTGTATAAATTCTATCAGGGTCCTCTGAAATCTTCTTAAAAACTTGAGCACCTTAACACTGTAGAGAGGATCGTCCTGACACTCTGACCACACCAACGTTCTCTGGATTGAGAGGAATATGAACAAGCTTGACACAGGGACACTGGGAAAGACACTTAATATTATCAGTCATAACTCCATGAAATCCTCCACTGATCCATCCACAATCAAATGATTCATATCTGGCTTTTACTACCATGGTTATCATCTAACTGACCGTGGTTTACTACAGTCATCCAACTCAGGGGCGTTTGAGTCGTCTGATGTTATCTTCAGAAGATGCTGGTAGGTCAAGCCTGCTTGTGTGTTACAGTGTGTGCTTTAGTGTTTGTGGATGATTCTCGTTTCTCAGTGACGGGAGCTTGGTCTTGGAAGAGAGTGAGGGGCACCTGATCCAGGAGAGAGAATATAACATTATTAGGTGAAACATGTTATTTGTGGATAATAAACAGCATTTATCTTTATCTTTAAAAAACATAAACAACCCACCTGGAGAAGCAAGAAGTGGAGGACGGGAAGCTTTTAAAATAGGTGGGCCTCTGATCCCATGAGGACCCCTAGGACCTGGATGGTATGGGGGACCGTGGTGGAGTAGGGGCCCACGAGGCCCTAGGGGGCCGCTATAGGGACTGTGTGAAGACAGAAGGCCCCGTGAAGCTGGGGGCCCCAATGAGGGACCGGATTGTCGTTGCAAGGACAGTAGCGGAGGGGGTTTGGTTTTGGGATAAGAACCTGAAAAGAGAAAATAAAAATCAGACACTTTCATTCATTTGAGGTGTAGATGTCTTGTTAGTATGACTTCTCATGTGTTTATTTTAGCTTTGTGGATTTATTTCTTCCTTAAAGGAAGAATGTGTGACTTTTGATCCAGTAGATGTAGCCCTTGAGCGGGTAGGACCCTGAATTACTCCCGCTACATTGGTGGTGGTGTATGAATGGGATTAGTTACTTCTGATGGTCTCACTACACAGCAGTCTATACCATCAGTGTGTGAATGTGTAGGTGTGACATGCTGTGTTAAAACACTTTGAGTAGTCAGAAGACTAGAAAAGCGCTCTACAAGCTAAAGTCAATTTACCATTTGCCCTTGAGCATCAGCATGAAATCAAAACAAACAGCTATTTCTGGCGACACCACCACACTGAATCCTCCACTCTCCTACAGGGACACACCCTTCTCCCCTTGCCGAGCATAAAGGAGTTATCCAATTGGAACCTGATTGGAACGATCCATAATTAAGTGGAAGACAAAATTGTCCTTGGCCGTTCTGAATATCCACAGTTCAGTATGCAGTATGGAGTTTCAGTGTACTGAACTTTCATGGTCATTCAGTCGGCATTTTTTGGGTCCACCTCAGTATACTGAACATTTCAGTATGGATACTAACTTCCGGGTTTCATGCAGTATGGATCGGATGCGTACTTTCAGGAAATTAATTGTATTTTACCACCCACAATGCTGTGCGAAATTAAACGTAAATCGTCACTTCACGTCCGCCTCTAAATCAAAACAAACGAACGTGGATTAATTTAATCAATTTTTAATCTAGAGTTAAAATCCCGTCTGAAATCACTACTTTAAATTAACAACAGAAAATAAAACAAATGTCTGCATTATTATAAACCTTTCCAACTCTATTTAAATAATCATTTCACATTTTAAATGCGTCTTTATTTGTTTATTTTACTTTATATTCCGTATCTTACTGTCTTTCATTTGTACTTTTCTTTATGTACTGTATGTGATTTAGTTATTTAATCTGCCTTTTACCTGATTTACATTGTGATATTGTTTTTTTTGTTTACCTGACTGTATATGTGCGTTACTCTTCCTGAATAAAGCTAAACAAAAAAAACAAAAAACAAAAAATGGGTGAATGCGGCTGGTTCGGGAAACGTAAATGACGTCACTTCCATACTGAATGAATCAGAAGAAGTAGGAACAAATATCTGCCAACTGTGCGCGCATACTGAATAGTAGGTACTAAACAGTAAACAGCACGGATAGTACGCACTGCCTACTGACTACTGACAGAATGAGTAGGTACTAGGCAATTCGGATACAGCCCTTATCTCGAGCTGCATTGTTGTGTTAGCATGCTAATGGTCACGCTCTTTAGTTTGCTCGTAGCTTGACATTGCATGAATATTTACACAGGATGAATGATCTAGAAACGCTTACGAGACATTGATATAAGCAGTGAGTACAGTAAGTTATTCTTCTTTTCTCTAGTCCCTCAGTTAAACAACTTTTATACACGAGGGGAGGAGTCAGCCGTCCGCTTTTCAATGTAAACATGATGTAAATACGGCTCAGACAACATCACAGATGGCAGGACTCGAGTCACACATCTCACTCATTGTAGACAGTCATGACTCAGAGAGTTATTGTCAGAGGATTTCTGCTATATTTATGTGTAAAATGTAGCACATCCTACCTGTGCAACTCTGTGTAACTCTGTAAGCTGTGTGTGTGTGTGTGAGAAGCCTTACAGCATCAGATCTATATTTAGACAGGAGCATGTTAGGAGCTATAAGGAAGTATGCTTTGCTGAGGCTGAAGAAATGTATATTGCTGACATTAAAGGTAATGCCCTTCTCCAGCCCATTAGAAGTGTAAAGGTTATTTTAAAGCACATTTAAACAAATCTGAAGCTGACTGCATGTGACGTTAACTGTTTTGTGCAACTTGAGGTAGTGGTGGGCAATATAACGATCTTAGATCGTGAAGGATTTTAACATGCTGATGATCTGCCAAAGCAGGGAGATCGTAGAACCGAGTTTATGTGTTTATTCTATCATGCTGCAGTTTATGCTCCGACACCCCCTCCTGTTTTGCTCCGCTGCAGTGAAAACGAAAACGAAACTTAAAAGTAAAGTCTGCAAAAACAACTCCACCAGGTGTCACAGAATGAACACATTCTGTATTATGTTTGATTATATATAAACTAAACTAAAGTTAGTCCAATGATGTCATAGGAACTCTGCAGGGCTAAATAGAACAGAAACACAAGAACTTGAAGTCTACATGTTTTTAAATGAATGGATAACTGCGTGAAAATGTTCCTGATGAACATAAAAAGAGGACACATAACTAAATCATCGTTTCAAATGGGTGAGGAAAACCTTCAAATTGTTCATAAATATTGATCACATTTCTGTTGCTAAAGATGTTCTGGGTGAGACCTCCTACAAAGATGTTTTTCAAATAGATTAAACTTGTCTGCACAGTTTTTGTGCATTTAAAAACATTGTACAGGGAAATAAGTTTGGTTGAACTGGTCAGTAACTTACAAATTTGTCTAAAGATCAGTATGAAGGAAATTGTGATAAAATCGTGATTTTGCAAAAAAAAAAAATCTTGATATGATATTTTTCCCATATCGCCCACCTCTAACTTGAGGTGATAATAGTTTGTTACCAACATTTTTATTTATTGATTTCTACTGACTCGTTGTTGCAGCCCTAAAACAGAATAAAACTGTACCTATTTGAAGACTACCAATCAGCCGTCCCGTGGTCACAGACTCCAGGTGGAGCGCACACGTCACATACAGACATCAGGTAACTATCAGGTGAGTTACAATCTTCTTATTATAAAACTATGGTAGGTAAACAGATTCATCTCATTTTAAAATAGAACTATTTAATTGAAATAGTATTTATTAATTTTCCTTCTTTAAATCCGTCCCTAACAAACAATGTCTCATATGTCACTTAGTATTACCTTCCTCCAGTAATTTAAAGATCAGCTAAAGGTTTAACACAAACTGGATCAAACCTGGTAAATCAGATTTTTTTTTTAAATATATTTTTTCCATCAATTACTGAAGGGACCAACTATTGGATGGTAAAAAATTAAATTGCAGGAACAAATCAACAATGTAATGTGAGAGGGATATCTCATGGGCAATACAAGCATAGGAGCAATGAAATTAACTTCATGATATTTTGGGGGGAATGGATGCCAGGTCTATGACAACTACAACTTCGACCTTTTTAAGATTCTAAAGGACCTTTAAGCAGTCCAGTAAAGTCTGCAGTCTTACCTGGGGAGGGCAGAAGGGGAGATGGTGAAGTTGAGGAGTGGTCCATCATTGACCCTCCTGCTCCGCCTGAGGACATGGGTTGAGGGGGCCCAGGCGGAGTAGGCAGCAAAGGAGGAGGTTTCCCCAGACCTGGAGGTAACATATTACCCCTCTGCCCCTCAGTGTTGGAGGCTGGAAAGAAACAAGATTTAAATGAAAACAAGAGAGACAAGAAAAGAGAGACGAGGTAATATCCAAAGAGACGGAGAGAGCAGATAAGAAATTCAAGGTGTCATTTTTAAATTCTGACAGAAAACTAGTTTGACACTTCTAGGTACTACAGTACAATCCATGTCCTACCTTGTACATGCTCCTGCCTGCACCGCACGTACTCTGAGATGGTTTCCAGCTCCTCGGGGTAGAGGTGCACCCCCTCAGCTAACAGCAAGAGGAGAGGACGTGTTTCAGAGGGAACAGTGTGCCGCTCGAGCTTTTCTCTCTCCAGGAAGTCATCGAGCAGCTGTGAGGCCTGCGCTGCCAGGTCTGAGGGGTCTTTTTTGGGGCGCTCTTTGACCAGTCCGCGACTGTACTCGGCTGCTACAAAGTCCATGGCCTGGTCTTTGGGCATGTTGCGATGGACTGGGGGGGAAATAGGAATATTAATGCTGAAGAGTAAAGGAATGGATTAGAAGAGATGAGGACCCATGGAACAAAGCAGAACATCCATTGGTTTGCAACTATAACTCCCTAAATGATTTTGTTTTAATGTGACGTTGGGTTCAACACAGTCTGCTGATAATTTGGTTCTTTGGGAAGTAGTTCTTTTAAATAGTAATTTTAATGAGAATTGTGATTTGTTGAATGGGGAATGTAATTTGATGTGCATTCATCAGTTACTTTCACTTTTGTTCTTTAATCTTTTTGGATATGGTTTCACTGATTGGTTAGATGTGGATTCTACATTAGATGCCAGTGTACTATTAATACATCTTATAATTCTATATATTTAATTTTCTGGTTTGAACAATGATTCATATATCACATTTTTCTTTAAGGACCAAGCATTTTGAGTTTGAAGATTTGTTGAGTAGATCAGCCTTTAATGAGTAAGAATGATTTCTTGTTGTTGTTTGGACTTCTACAGAGCACTATCATCATGAAACACTTGGATTACCTTTGCAGTTTGTGTTGAGCAGGTTGGTTGGTGCATTGAATGCTTTCTAAATAGCATCAGTGTTGGTGGGTCAACTAAATCACACAGGGTGCTCATGCAAACTCAGTGACATGTTTTACAAAATAAAGAAATAATGTATTTAGTATATCTGCTTGTTCTTTGTTTAGTTTTTCATCAATTCATGTAGATAGCTGCATTGATATTTGAAGTTTAAATTACATATAAATTCAGACTTATTGAATTGGCTTTAGAGGAATAGTTTCACAGCAGGGAGTCCACTCTCATATCCATCAGATAATATGAGCTACAACAAGCAGCTAGTTTAACCGGATGAAGACTGTACGATTACAGAAAGATTTAGACCCTATTTTTTAATTTGAATTTCAGCCTTATCGTGCATAGTCAGTCGTGCAGTGTACACTGAAGCGTGACGGACGATCCTAATCAGCTGTTCCAAACCGGTCGGGTGATTTCTGGCACGTTTGATATTTTGGTCTTTCGACTGTGCACACTTCCATAGTGAGAGAAGAGCCATTAACCAATTCCCTTATTTCAGGACATTGTCTCCTGATTGTGTCGGCACTAAACGTGACAGACAGTGTCCGAAATCCCCATAGCAACAGCATGCATGGCTGTTTAATGTGTCTTCCCCCTCCAATCATTACAGAAACATTGGCAGGACATTTCTGTCTTCCAGCTGAAGTCCAGCAATTTTTTTTAGCTTTACAGATTCCGACTGAGATCATATTTATCAGACAGAGATACGAGAATGTTGTCCATCCTTTTGGCAACCAAAATGGGAAACTATTCCTTTTAAGTACCTTTATTTCTACTTTTGGGCTTCATTCAGTTTCTTAAGGTTGTAGGCTTATGTATGGTCAAAGTGTGTTGCCTTCTGTTTATTTCTCACATGGTAAGATGCAGTTTTGGTAAGTTGCTTTGAATACGAGCATCAGCTAAAAGTTAGATGATCTGCAAACGTATGTAAGTTGAATATTGTGTTTATATGAAGGTGTTTTGATATCTATAAATGTTAAGAAAAGTTGAGTGAAGAGTTGATGTTTGTGTGTTTCTGTGAGAATGTTTTTGTGGCTTTTTTATGTGTATTTGGTTTAAAGCAACAATATGTCGCTTCCCCCTCTTTTAAACAGTAGATTCAAACGACGATTTCATAGCACAATAACTTTCAACAGGGAAAATGACGTCTCTCCAATGTCTACAGCGCGAGAAATATGATGGCTTTGTACGATTTTATGCAATGACTGAGACTGTGAGAAAGTGTATATTCCTGCAGATATTATTCATAACACATTGCGACTTCACGATTGTATTGTTATCCGTGCCATCATTGTCTCATGTTTAGCAGATTTTCGGGTGCCAAAAATTCATATAACCCAAGTTCTGTCTGAGGTTTGCACACAAATAAATCTGTCTTACACCTAAAATGTGTCTATTTCCCTGTGGATCTACAAGTTCACTTTAAAAATGTGGAACCTTAGCTTCTCGTAACATCTACTTGATTGCACGCTGTCTAAGAGGGGTAGGCGTAACTGCACTGTCTTTGCATCAGTGCAGTTGCACTCAGAGACCTTCAGTGGGCGCCGAAGCGTACCAAAAATAATTCCTACATATTGTTGCTTTAACTTTTACAAAGATCGGCAAGAAGTTGAATCTCAATTTCAAAAGAAAATGAGGGTTGTGACTGAGTTGGTTTGGCTACGTTTGAAGGAATGTGGGATAGGGACTTACTTTTGAGGGATTCTGAGAATATGATAACAGTGCAGGAGGACAGAGCTATGTTTGTCTGCTCCACCAGAATACATAACGGGGAGCCTTCTGCTCGGACATCCTGCAGGGCCCGGGTCAGGCCTGATTCCGCCTGAAGGTAGAGCATTTCCACTGACAGGCCGCGCTCCTGCAAGCACTGGCTTAGCGATTTGGGGTAATCCCTTTGAGAGGAAGAGAAACACTTTGTTAAGTTAGCATTTCTTTATTAAGTTGTTCAGCTGAGAGGACCAGAGGGTTATTTCTTGATTTAAAGTGTTCTTACCAACAAAAAGTAAACACAAACTTAGTGTAGTGAATAATGTATCTATGGAGATTTGAATATTGTGTGTTTGGACAAAATAAAGCATTCATTTGTTTTTGAATGTGTCTTTGGTGTATTTGGTGTTACGGGTATACTGTGGTGAAAAAAGGAGGTTGTTGAGTGGATTCATTAGAAGTGGTCCTTCTGTCAAAGGAAAGACTATCATCAAAGACTTGAAACTTGATGTGGCAGCAATCGACTTCTCCCACAGTGAAACCGATTCAACATTAGAATTAAAGGTCACAAAGCATCCAAGCTACCTACAGCTGCCAATACCACCTCTAAATCTTACTGTGTTCATTAATAGAATAACGATTCACTGATGCACTCCTGACTATACTAAAATTACTACTTTGTCTGTGGTATTGGATCATGTCTGTTGGTCAATAGCTAATTTATTCCAGATAAATCAAAGCTGTCCAAATAAAATACAACTAACACTATATTATATAAACACCTCTAACACTTTTACGATGTATCCTATAAGAACTTCATTTTTGATATTCCAGTGAATAAAGCTCATTGACATACACTATATGTATTATTTTTTTTAAATAAGAGTAAAACTTTAGGATCTTAATCAGTTTATGACTCTAACAAAATCAAACAATTTTGTAGATTTGCTCATTGTCAGCTTATGGCAGACACTCTTAGAGCCTTTGTGTAATAATAAGGATCAAAACAGTGATAGTGTCAGTACTTTCAAAGTAAGTGTAATAGTCTAAAATTATAATTGCAGGCAGATAATGCTGACATTATGGCACAACCTACCAGTCAGTATTTGTGTATAAGTATGGTGTGTTCACTATTTCATTGATGAACCATGTTGTAGTGACTTTAAACACTTATATTTTTTTAACCGCTTGTCACCAAATGTGAGGACAAACAGAAGATCAATTTGATGTTTTTTTTTTATTCAGGAGCTCAGTACAGCAACCACTGCTGAAGATGTTTTTTCTTTATGTCATTTCATGAAGTCAAGCTTGTGTTGAGAGAATGTGGTTTGGAGTCACATTTGATATGTACTGCAAAGTGAAAACATGTTATTAAATGGCATTTATATCAGAATGTATTTGAAAAACTTTGTCAAAATGGTGTTTTTATGCAGTACTATTGGTTATCAGTTTGTACTGGTGCTCTTAAATGGTAACATTGGCAGCATTGAAATGTGTGTTATGTTTTTATGATAAGTCGGTGCTGTACAAAATGCATGAAGTGGCTCCCGTGTTTGTGGAACTGGTTTTTATCAGTCACTTTGTCTGAAGAGGACACCAGAGGGGTGTTCTGTGGAGGAAGCCTGACATACCAAGGCTTACTTCAAGCAAGCTGGCTGGACAAAGCCTGGAGCCTGAGTGAAAACATGCATCAGTTTTTAGGTATCACAAACAACTTTCTCTGACAACTAAGGCATTCTGCCTCAGGCTCTGTGCGTTCTGACAGAAAAGGCGGCGTTTGACACATACATAGATGCCCCAAAAGGAACCATCACTGTTTGGCTGTTTGCTGGCTGTTTGAAGAAACCAAAATTAATGCATAAAAAGCTCTCAGTGCTTCCTTTTCAGACAGCATCGTGTGTTAACTACACACAGTACAACTCTTACACTTAAACAAGGATACACTTGATCTCAGCAGTGCAGACAGGAAAAACAATTAAGTTTGATACTTTTAATATATGAAAAAAGATGGAAACTAACTTTAGTAGTTGGCAAAGTTATGGTCAAACTAATTATTGTATCTGTGATAAATACTAATCAAGAATTTAAACGTAATCCTGCATCCTTACACGATGTGCCCTCTTTGTTCTTTTACAAATCGTCTGCTGAAGCATGAATGTTACCTGAAGCAGATAGGCTCCAGTGATGCAATGCATCAGATGTGTACTACTGTACCTGCATTTCTTGTTCGTGACTTTAAAATTACGGTTCAAAACTTTTCCATTCATGTATCTCAGCTGAAGATCTCTACTGGCTGTGGAGAACATCTTCAGGTAATAATAAAAGAAAGGACAGCAATTTTCAGAATATCAGGCGTAACTCAAAATGAATCTGTTCCTTATCAGGTAAGCCGTGCAGAGCAAGTAACCATGACGATCTACCCAGGTTAAAAGAGCATCTTCTTCAGGTTCGACAGACCTGACTTGCCCTCTACTCTCACTTTGTGGTCCACTACCAAATGAGGTGACAATTGCAGACTATAAAGACTTTTAAAGACGTTTGAGGACAGTGAAATGAGTCACACTTAATGCTGTCAGTGGTACTGAAAAAAGGCTGTACCTGTCAGAACGTAAACATCATTCAACACAACAGAAGGTAACAACAGACATATCCTGTAACCCATCCAAAGAATAACCTGGGCATTGTCTATCAAGATGATTTACCACCTCCATGTCATCCCTCTACATACATGAGGAACACAAGCAGTGTTCACACACACACACACACACACACACACACACACACACACACCAGCTTGTTGCCCTATACTGTTTCATTGGTAAGATCCTAAGCCTCCATCCCATGTCATATTGGTTAGTGATGTCATGTTCCATCCAAAGCATGAAAAGATTAAATGTACCATGAGGGGGCGAAAGGCTGGGTCCAGTAGATGTGGTTTCCATTCATATCCTATTTCACTTCTGTTACTGGGATAATGAATTGGAATGATGCATAGCACTCTTTATGATTGTGTGGTTCAATATGTGCAGCAGATGGCTTTCTATTTTCTACATTATACAGTGATAAGTACTGTTCAAGTGGAAAACCCAATGATTTTGCAAGGTATAAAATGAGTTATAGCTGGTTTGATTTCTGATTGTGACGATGTTGTCGTCTACAGGATAAATCCAGATAATTGATTATTTCTTGATCGATTTTGACTTCTGAAGTACAATACACTGTTCCTAAGTGAATGCTTAAGGAAGAACTTGACGTATTTCCTTAAGTCACCTTGAAATCCTCAGTGGAATAGTAGTTACCAGGATGCGAGCAAAACTAAGTAATCATGCAACAAATTGTCGCTCTCAATGCAAGTCACCAACTAATCTTTTAGGCAGTTGTCATAACAGGCAGAACCTGTACCAGTCAGCGGTGGTACCTTTGCACAATAGCTTGTTTGATAATGTTAGCATGGGTCCCTGCCAAGATGTTTTGGATTTTACTGTTCATTGTTATGCATCAGAATAAAGGGTGGGTCACCTTGTGTGTAGGAGAATCAACACAAACCTTATGTGTTGATACCTTTCCAGCTGTGTTGCAATACTAGAAACAACAACATGAGATGTTCGCCACTCTTTACAGCAAGCACATGCATTGAAGCAAGAGCTCGAAGTGCTAAAAGTCCCAATCCAAAAATAACAGCGGAGAAACATGAGGATCAGGGTCAGCAACACGGTAGTCTTTTCTGCTTGAGTTTTTGACATAACTAAAAACAATGAGGGCTGACATAACTGAGTGAGTTTCACTACAGAAGTTGAATGACACTAAAGACAATCAAATCACCTCCCTCCGGTTTGTCCTTTTTTTTTTTTTTTTAATACTCACAGGCACTGGTTGGTTACAGAGAGGACCACGCAGTCCGCCGGCTTCCTTTCCTCCTGAACTTGTCTGTAGAATTTCTGATACAGTGCTTTGCGGCGGTCTGCTGGAGTGCAGCTGTCCGCCTTGGCTGGGGTTGTGTGGATGGTGGAAGCGTTGGAGGAGAATGAAGAGAAGGGTGAAGGGAAAGTGGAGGCAGTAGGGGATAAAGAGAGAATGGAAGGTAAGTTGCGGGTGTAGATAAAAGGTCAGATATTTCCCCTATTAATTTAAAATCAACATCAGCAATTTTAAACGTCTAACATATGTTCTGTTTACTGCAATGGTGTTATTTAAAAGTGTAAACTAAAGGGGGCAGTAGTATGTAGTTATGGAAGGAATGCAGGCTATGGATTTGACACCCACTGATTTTAATATTTAGAATTTTAACATGTAAATAAAAGAAACAAAGTGTTGTCTTGGTGTGGAAGGTTTCTGAATGGTGCAAACTTTGCAAACTTTTGTGATCAAAGTAAAAGCACAAGGCTCACCAACTGGCTGATGCTTGTAGCTCTCATACTTCACATTTGCACTGTAGCTTTGTATTTGATCCAGTTCTTCATAGCTGAAAGAAACAAGGGGAACAAGAACCCTTAAATTCAACAATTTAATGAGGGAAGCATTGCTAAGCATTACTGTCCACTTAGTTAATGAATGAGATGACTTGGCATGATTGAAGGTTTTACAGACTGAAACCAGAGCTCTGAGATTACAACACCATAGTTGGCATTCAACATGAAATTCATACATGCTCGGGTGAGGCTTGTTGACCTCATGAACCTGTCAACTGGCACATCAGGTACTGTGGCAAACACCCACATAAAACTTCTGTGTAGTCTGTAAGACTAGGCAGGGGAAAGGACTGAAAAAGTAGAGACTTTGTCCCATTTGATCTCTCTCTGAACTTTGGCAACAAATTGTAAATGGTTCTGCAAATTTAATGTAGAGGGATAACAACAAATCTGTAACAAACTACAGATTGGTGACAGGAAAAATATGCAATTACATTAAGATAATGTGGTGTTTTTATGTTATAGAAATATGACTGATTTGATCTGTCACAATAGAAGACCATTTAATTAGGTTACTTTGGTTCATTTTAATCAATCTAAACAACAATACTCTTAAAATGTACCTACCATCAGAAAACATGGCTACAGCTTCCACAGCAAGGTCAGTGGATTTTCCTCAGAGATACAAGTTTTGGGCAACGTAAGTTACATTCCAGTCACCTCTATACTGGGGTTGCAGCAGAAACACCTATGCATTGCTCCTTATTGATAAAATGTAAATCTAACCTCTTGTTTATTTTGATCACAGCCTAGGCATTCTATTGACCTTAATCAGGTATAACAGGTTTACTAAAATGTTTGTTGGCTTACTTCCTACTACAACATTGTGTTGAATGCTGGTGAACACATTGCATGAAAGTGATGTTAACACAGTCAAAACACGTCCCTCTCTTGTGCCGTACATCATTGTTGAAGAGACAACGCATACACTTGCACATGAAAACACAAATATAAACAAATGCATACACTTAAAAAAACACAAGTGTTAAACACATACACAGTTAAGACCTTAACAGTCTTGTATACACAAACAGAAAAGACACCCACTGATCAGTCATTCATGAGCACCTGCAGACGATGGTTTATACTTTTACTGTTTGCAAATGTTTTAATATTAATCTGATCAACACTTGATGCTTTCGTAAAATCCTCTCTACGTTCATGCAAATAAAGAAAATGTATTAATAAGAGATATTAGACAAAAAGGAGGGCCTCTGCAGTTGTGAGGCGATGAAATGCCATAAACGTTGACTTTATTATTATTTACGTCACATGCATTAACTAGCACGCAAAGACACATTTTTTGTCCATAATGTGTGTATTTTAGTTATGTGTTTTGGTTCGGTACCTTTCCAGGGCATCTTTGAGCTCTTCTGGTCTCTCCTCTCTGCTGGGGTAAGGCGCTGCTCTCCGAAACAGACGCATCTGTGGAGCACTGCAACACAGGATTGACTTTAAAAGGTGCTTCGTTGTTGTTTTTTAACATGTTTAACTATAACGGTAATGGGTAGAGAGGCTAGCGTGCTAAACACACTGCTTGTTGTCTGCTAAGCCTGCTAGCTATCGTGTTAGCTTTTAGATGCTAAACTACATACAGTCGACCACACGGCTTACCTTCCGTTGGGGTTAGCCTGTCGCCGGGCAGCAGCAGATGATTTAGCCCAAGACGACATTTCATCCGCGCAGCCACTTAACCGACAAACACCGCTGCTTTGCCTTTTAACCACAGGAGGGCAGAAACTGTATGCAGATATTACTCCACTGACTTGGAAATACAACTCTCCCGGGGAGAAGGAGGAGGAGGAGGAACATGGAGGAATTCTTCTTCTGGCAGCTGACCTGCCGGTTAGCGGGTGTTTTGCTGCCATCTAGTGGACCACAAAGGTAGCAAGTATAACAATCTCAACAACCTTTGAACCTCAAGATTCAAGATTTGTATTTGTCACATGCTCATACAGATGTGCAGTGAAATGTAACGACTGTTCCGCAAGGCCATGCAATAACACTCAAATTACTAATACACATATATACTATATGTAATATTAATATTACATTACATTATCAATCATATCAACATGCTATTTAAGCATCCGTGGAGACATACTTGAACCCCACCAATATCGGTTTTTGTACCCCAAATATAAAGCCGAAGAACAGAAGTCCAGCACAATAAGCATACACATTGATATGTGTGGAAAAAAAGGGGAAATTATGCTTTAATGTTGGTTTCTGGGTTCAAATTTAAATGTATACAAAAAACCTCAACCTAGTTCAATATTCACTTTAAGGATGTGCATCTACCAAATGCAATCCAGATTTGGGATGCTATAAACCCACAATTTAATTTTGTTTAATCTAATTACACTGGAATGGTTACAAGTAACATTACACAGGGTTACAGTTAAATGGGCCTGACTCAGTTAAAACTGCTCAAGGCCTACAGCAGATTCCTGTTCTGCAGCACATAAAAACAAAGATGACATCAGACAAAAGACCCAACCAACATCAGACTTAACAGCAAGCAACACAGACAATCATTAATTAGTTAAATCAGTTAATTAATGATTTTGTTGTAATTTTCCAGTTAAGTGTCAAAAAGGATTGGGCAACAATGTGTTCTTTCAGTGTGTAACCTTTGCTTATAATGAGAAAGGATTATTCCTACTACATAAACAGAGTTTGCCCATATGGTCGTTTTTGTGAATAATGCAAGAATCTGAAACTTGTCTTTGGATTCAGTTTTGTCATTGATCCCAACATTAGCCTCTGAGGATTCAAATGCACTAGAGTGGGAAAATGATTTTGTCAGCACCAATCCAGAGGACCATCCAGACAATGAATTTGAAGGGTTTATCAATCCTGTACTAGACACTCTGTCTGAGGATTCCTTGGACTGCGGCCTCAAGGTGGAGAACCAGGACAGATAGTGTTTAGCACCAAAGGAGATGTTTGTGGTGTCGTCTTCATCTTAACAATCATTAGCTTTTTATGACATGGAATATTACTAATTTGCTTTTCATTTCTGTGATAAGAGACTGAAGATGTGTGGCAATTTTTTATCAAATACAAATTTGAGTGCCTTTTTTTTTTACTTGGGGACCATCATATGCATTGTAACTTAACCCAATCAGTTATTATCCTTTGATGAAGCAAATCATTTGGTAAGTTATAATAACTATATAACAAGTTGTTCTTTTTCAGTTCTAATCAAGATAATTTCCTCTCTATTTGACCTATGGTATCCTTAAGCCCCAATAAATAGCCACTGTGCAGTGCTCAACCACATTTTTGACGCAAGTGCCTTGATCATAGAAAAAAAAAAGTTTTGTCATTGATCCGTTTTTTCTTTGACCTCGTAACAAAGGGACTTACTTAGAAGAAACAAATAGGTTGATTAAATACAGTTCAGATCTCACCTGAGTGAAAGGCAGCCTGCACACGCCAGGTGTCAGCAGGCGAGCACCTTTCGTTTGTGTCGCGCGGACAGGCTCACGCACTCGTCTCAAACCGTGAGCGCGCCGCGGTGGTGACAGTCGCCATTTTATTTTGAAAATCAAACTGAACTGGAGGCATAGAGATTCTTCCATTTCGTCAAGTTTGTTGTGAGAAAACCAGAAGGGATGAACACCTGAATTACTTTCTTGGAAGTACGGTGAGATTTAAAATGGTTTTGGTAAACTACCCTTTGCAATATAGTTAATATAACGCGCAAGAAACGGTATTTGCACGGAGTCTGAGCGTTAGCCTCAAGCGCGGTGCGGTCTATTTACTGGAATACAGCTGTCATAATACCCACACCAAAAGACTAACTATTCCTTTATTTATAACCGGAGGAATGCCGTTTAACTTAACAAGAACACGTGTCGCTAGACACACAATTTGTATTCCATCAATGTAACGGTAACTAATCTCTTCAAGAACTAGCAATTTGAAAACGCGTTCATGTGATTCCATAGATAACTCCGTGCCACCGAGCTAACGCTAACAAGGTTAGTGCTAACGCTAGCTCACACGATCGAGAAAATACTCGGCCTAGGAGCTCGCAAGTAGGCAATTTACGGCCGTTTTATGGACGTAATGATCGGCAAGATACTTAAAATACTTATTTGAAGTACTAAATTTAGTAAACAAAAGTGCAATTTGACTTAGTCTATTCATACACTGCAGCTTGAAACAGGCTCATGTTGCTAATGTTAGCTTCACGTTAATGCTAATTCAGTAGCATTAGCCCGTTAGCCTACAGGGACAGTTACTGACATTACTCAAAGGTAAACGGTAGATGTTAACCACAGTTACCGGGTTAATGAGTGAAGTACAGTTTAAATAACGCCACGTGGTATGAGAATATTTGACTTTGAAGAGTTAACAGTGATTGTAAACGCTGAATGAATCCAGTTAAAATATTGTCTCGCGTCTTAAACTTCCCCCACCACCAAGTGTTTATCACCGTCATGGTGATGGTTAGCTAACGGCGCTACGTTGTCTACGTTAAAACACGAGAAGGGGACCAAATTTGGTTCGAAATAATCACTTACTTATCACATATCTTTATCATTTCTGATAACATTGTTATCCCGCTACCGTACAGTTAGTTAGCACTCGGACTGTGAAGAGTTGCTAACGCTAACATTAGCCTGCTCTTTGTTTTACGGTCTCTAAATGTCTCTTTTTACAAGATTATTCGCTGGGTGCTCTTAATGCTACGTAAAGTGTTATTTGTTGATGAAGTTAGTTTTATTTGTTTTCTATTGTAAACGTTGGAGTTTGCTTTGTCTTTGAATAACATAAATAGCTTTGCATTTGTGTGCCACTTGATAGGATACGATCGAGGCCTAGTGCAAACTACTGGCACGCCAACTTTATATAATAACTTCACAGTGTTAAGATAGAGTACTAAACCTCATCACATATTGAGTGCACATTGGGATCTTATTAGCAGTTACATGTACAGACACCGAATCAAACTATTTATTTCACTGCACCTTTTAGGTCTGTTATTCTTGTAGGCCTTAAGCCAGTCACAATATTTCTGTTGTCAATGGATTGCATGTGTTCTGTAAAATTACTGAACTCAATGTTTAGCGTATTTCATAAAGATACACACTTTTTAGTTGATTGAATGAATTGATTTTATAATTGTAACTACATTTCTGTCTTTTGTTTTCTTGTATAACAAATTAAATGATTTGGAAATAATTATGAACTTTTGTCCTTTAATTACAGATGCTGATCTTGATTTTAAACTGAAGGACCCTACTGAGCACCAGTAGCCCCCGACTGGATAACTAATTTGGAAGCCCAACATATTAAGCACCTTTTGGGGGGGGGGGAGCAGAAGTAACCTATCACTGAAGTGACTAAAGGGGAATAATGGTGATTTTGCGCCGTGCTCGGCCGCCTGCTTCCGCCCCAACCAGCAATGAATCTTGACTCGCTCTCGCTGGCTTTGTCTCAAATCAGCTATCTGGTGGACAATTTAACAAAGAAAAATTACCGAGCCAGCCAGCAAGAAATACAGCATGTAAGTGGTTACATAGACATCAAATAAACTCTTAAAATCAGTCAAAAAGTTATGCAGAGTGTCTTCCAATGTATCCTTTGATCTGTGTGGTCTGATGATTTCTGTGTGCTCTCCTAGATTGTAAATCGTCACGGCCCTGAGGCAGACAGGCATCTACTACGCTGTCTCTTCTCCCATGTGGATTTCAGTGGCGATGGTAAAAGCAGTGGCAAGGACTTTCACCAGGTAATTTTTGATCAAAAACATGTTGAACTGTAGGTTTATTTAAGTTAACTATTAATGTCTTTACAACAACTGAACATAATTTGGCCTGCTCTTTCTAGAAGTTATCTTCACTGAGCTTTTTACAAGTTTTCCATTTATCAGGGTAAGGACAAAGCAAGGCAGCAGAAAACTCATGAAAACATTCTAGTACATATACAAGTATGGCTTACCGGAAAACAACAGTTAAGCTCTAGATATTAACTGGTATTAAACAGGTTTTTGTTGCAGTCAACAACTTTTTTCTGTTATCACATGCCCTTGGTTAACAACACAGCAGTCTGCTGTAGTTAATATGAACTGGGGAGATACAGTAAGAAAATATTCAGTGTACATATATAGTGTATCGTCCAAACAAGACAGGACCTGTAGGTCAATTCCTCAGTTGATAAAAGTGTAATTTTTTTTCATAACTATTTCTCTAAATTAATAACTTAGACTTTACGGTAAAACTGTTTTACATTGATTTAACTGCAGCACTGGAAGGAACCGTTAAAAAAATCTGCCATAAACATTTACCAGGAAGTCATTTAGTCTGATAAGAACTATGTTCCACTACAATAAACCAGAAGTGTTAGTTTCACATCTCCTCTTTACATGTGTGAAATGTTCACTGACTATGGAATGAGACATTTAATGGACTTCTAAAAATAATAAAAATAATGTCTTATCAAATTAAATGGTAAGATTTACTCATTAACATTTGTTACTCTCATTGTATCTCCACATAAATGACATTTTCTATCATTTAACATTCCGAAATATTACATTTTTAAGTTATATGATTATAGGTTATAATTTAATCTGAAAAACATCCCAGGCCATAACAAGGGACTTACAACAATCTATGCCTAGATGGTAAAACCGCCCTCCCTTACTACCACTTCTGTAGGCCTGCAAGAAATTTTTCAATTTGCTAATAAAATATGTATGTAGAAACTAGAAGTCTGCGTTTGTGATACTTTGCGAGTGTCTGCAAAAGTTTTTTTTTTTTTTTTTTTTTTTTTTAGTTTTTCCCCTTAGGTGACACATTTTCCTCTCATTTTGTGACAAAGTATTGGGGTAACAGTGAGTACAATGAAGTCTCTACATTTGGACATTTACTCCTTGATTTCCTGAGCCCTGATAATGGTGCATGACAAATTTCTACATTTACTAAAACATAGTCAAGTAAAGAAAAAAAAAAAAGGCAGTTCATTAAAGTTGTACGATTGTATAGAAGAACACGACTTGCAAAGGCCAGCTGATTCAATTTTTGGAAGTTGTCAGTGTTAGAGCTGGACTAATCAGACAGGCTTTTCTCTCTGACACAGGCCTAGTGTTTAAACCAAACAGAGATTGTCCTTTTAAACACAGGGTGCACACAACTATGTTCTCTGCTCTGCAATGCATGTACCACTTTGGATACTGATCATTTAGAGTTCATCACAATAACATTTAGTGCAGTTTATTGTATGCCAACTCCACAAGTCTTATCATCATAGTTTACCGTGATGCCAAATGTTTTCTTCCCTTACTTGAAAATGTTTCTGAAACTGCAACATTTGGAGACATGTATTTTCTAAACGTTATCTCTTAACTTAATATACAATGGTATTCACACATTTTCCCATCACTGCTTAGAAATAATTTTTTATTAAATATTGAAGTGGGAAAAAGCTAAACTTACCAAGTGCAGTTACTTTCATTATAATTTGTAATACGGGAAAAGCCCTGTGTAAAAGTTAGGGAACCCTGTCTAGCTAGTACTTTTGGAGTCGTCCTTTGGCAATTTGTTGCTTTCCAAAAGTTTCATGCAGTCAGCAAATAGTCTTTTAAGTTTGGCTTCTGAATTTCAATCCTCCTGGCAGAACACCTCAAGCTTAGAGGTAGTCTGGGAAAACAAAGACTTGGGACTTTGGTAGCCCTTATAAAACCTTCATCTTTCCTTGTGTTTCTTCAGAGTTTTTTTTAAAGAGTGAGATGGATGATTATTTTTCCAACCAATTTCCACTTAAATACTCTTCCATTTTTGTTGTGTCGCCATTGCTTCACAGCCACCAAGCATGTGTTCATGCGTAACAGAGATAATGCCAAAGAGTTCCCAGACTTTTTGTACATGGAGTTTTTTTTCCTACAATTTCTTTGTAAAATACCCTGAAGAGAATATGTAAGCTTTATTTTAAAGGATATATGTACTCGGGTTGCCAAATTTTTGCCCCACATTCTAAATTGGTAGATTTTTTTATGTAGAAATTCAAATTAAGCTAATGATTAATTTTGATAGTTATTGTAAACTTGCAGTCATATCTTGTTCTTCATCTGCCTCTGTTTTCTTTTCTCTCTTTTTCTCGGTACATTTTGCTTGTCAACTTGCCTAAGACACAGTTTTTGATCCAGGAGTGTGTGTCGCTGATATCCAAGCCAAACTTTATCTCTACTCTGTGTTACGCCGTTGACAATCCCCTGCATTACCAGAAGGTAAGGAGTAGGTTCCATAATTTCTAAAGTATCCTTAATGTATGACAGCCTTCATTGATAGAATAATTATTTGTACTAAGAGCAAACAAGAAATATAGGTGCAAAGCACACCCAGAGTAATTGGTTGCAAAAAGCAAAATACAAATACCTTTTAATGTGACAACTCTACAGCATTGCAATGGCTTTCAGTAGACGTATCCTACACCTTTTCGGCCATGGTTTATTTTTTTTATTGTTCGTGTATGTTCTATGCTTTGTGGTTATGGACCGAAATAAATATTTACTACTACATAATAAGTGTGCAGGCATTGTTCAAAACATATTTTAGTTTTATGCAGGTGTCTAACTTTTACACTGTCTTTCAGAG